TTAATGGGAGAAGGTTTATGTAAGTGTTCAAATGAAATTGTGCCTGTGTTCTTACATTCAAGTCAGGATCAATATCAAGTTTTTCTGTTCTCATAATCATCATCTTCAATTAATACTCACGCTTTTGTGACCATTTCTGCAGAGACAAATAAAAGGATACAAAACTGTTGTTGTGACATCTTTTTAAAAAGTTAACTATGCAATGTTGATCAAAAACGTGTTGCAGAGAACGGTCTCATACAAGACAAGGGATAAACTGTAAGGCAAGACCCCATCTAACCCTTTGTTTCTGTAAACTAGTTATTTTAATTTAAATAATTCCTCCTGTTCAAATAGTCATCTTTGAAGTCGCATTTTGAAGAGGTTTCTGTGAGAGAGAGTCAGTGGAATTAGGAAGTCACATGACTAATTTATTTAATTTGTGGTTTTCTTAGTGTTCTCTTTGAATCACAGAGAACATGTCTTTGTTGACGGTGTTGTGAGACTGGTATTCTGCACCTTACATTTAGGATATTCTCAGACAAAAGAGTAATTTTCTTTTAATGTTGATTATTCTCAATGAATAAATAATTTGATTATGAGTACATTCTGAGATGAAGTCTGGCTTCAATTCTGATCCCTGGGAAGACAAACCGTACCTGGAAACCTGAATGCCTTCTCTTGGGAACTGCAAAGGCAGTGCGTAGAGATTCTATACTCATTAGGCTTATTCTTCTGTTGCAGGCACTAGGTTTCATTTTTCCAGTAAATATTTTAGATTAACTTGTAAAGTCAAGTGCATGTTTCTAAAATCAAGGTGAAAAATCTTTAATTTCATTTAGGTTTTTTCAGCATTAAGTATTGTATAAACTACAAATTAATAAATAGCATCAGGATGTTGACAACTGTATGAAAATAAGGCTTTAGGAATGGTTTTGCAGTCTTGGTTTCTAGTATTTGTCCAGTGCTACGTCTTGGGTTATTCTAGTGTTTTTATGCCACTGTTAGTCATCAAGTCTGCAAGTCTACCCCCTTCTCCAGGACACTTTGCATTTTTTGCTAGCAGTAATAACAGGATGCTGAGAGAAGGAACTCCAAGAAGATCTTAATGGACTCAATTTTTAATTTCTTTCTTCCATACAAATTTTTTGTGTATGGCTGTCAAAGCCTTCAGACATGTCTAGCTGATCAAAAGCTTGAAAGCACCAGACTTCAAGGTAACTTTCAGGCCCACGCAGTTTAGCAATATTAGTTTTGTGCCTGTGGAGAGCCAGTTTAAATGGATAAATAAAAATTCTTGAGGTGCAAGCAAAAAAGTTATGCTATTGAATTCTGGTGGTTTATGAGTGGTATCATAGCTTGTATCATTAAAAAAATTCCCAACATTTAAGAGCATCATAAGACAAAAAAAACATAGTATGCCTTCCCAAGATGATGAGGACGTGCACTGCAAAAAGGTCAGTACTGTGTGCATGTATTGACTCAGGAGAGCAGGTTGAAAAAACAGCCATTTGAATGCTGCTGCTACAGAATAAGGAAACTGGTATTTTTTTCTCTAAGGGGTCGCATACAGGTTAAGAATATAGTGCTGGCTGGTTTGCGGAAAGCTAGCTACTGCTGCATATTATCTAACTTATCCTCAAAAAATTAATTTATGAAAACATTGCCTCCCTGTTGTTTTTTCTGAGGCTACAGACAGGAATCTTTACTACTTGAAAGCTAGCACTGAAAAGAGATAATGCCTCCTCTTTTATTTCCTTTACATAATAAATGTGCTGAACATTGTAAGATAAAGAGCTTTTAATTTTATGAAATTTGGTTGGCTGTCAAAGAGACATTATAACAAGTGGTTTCCAGCCAAATTGCATTTGCTGAGGAGTGATGGATCTCTTGCCAGCACTAAAGAGGCACTCTTCACATTGGATGTCTGCACACTTCTCATGGGTGGAATGCAGCAATATTTCTGAACGTAGATGTTAGAAATTCCATCGTAGAAATGGACGTTTTCTTATTAATTGTGTCACTACTTCCAACAGCTGGTGTTTTAACAAATAGAGAAATAGAGCTGGTGAAGTTGGTGGCATTGTTCTTGCTTTAGTGGTTTGCTTTTGTGACTGTCTTGTTTCTTTTGTAACCTTTCTTTCTGGGTGCTTTTGGGAGATTTTTTGCCCCCCCGTTTTTTTCTATTAAGAGAGAGATGAAAGGAAAATTTTGGTAGTGCATAACATGTCTGCATCACTCAGGGACATGTTTTGACTCAAAAACTTTATTGTGTCAGGAATAATACAGCATATAGTTAGGGAGCAATGTCTTGCTGCATAACCATTAGTTTTATAAATGCAGTCATCCACATTAATATAGTTATGCTTACTTGTTTCTGGGATGTTGCTTTGTTAAGTTTAAAAACCAGGTATGATTCTTCTAGTGTCAAGGACGGAGGCAGAAAAAAATTTTATCCATTTTCAAAGGATGACATTTGATACATTTTTGTGTCATTTAAAAATACACGTGTTTTTTTTGAACTGTAGATAAGCCTGAGTTGGATTTGAATGTTCTAAGATGCTGAAAAGAAAGGCTTCTTTTGCAGCTGTGGTTAACAACAAGAGAAAGATAATACTCATTTCTGTTTGTATCTTGAGCATTTAGTGAGCAAGTTCTGAAAATGATTTTCATGAATGTGAATTAGATACAAAATTACTAAATGATTTTGAGGGTTCTGTGAAAATGATGCAATCGGAGATAAAAAGAACTGAGAACTCTCAGTGTAATCATCATAGGTGCAGAACAGACAGCCTGTTAGATGCTGTCTCTGTAATTAAAAGTCAAATAAAAATGATAAAATAATAATACTAATAATCCTATGTCAGAAACTAAGGTTAAAGTTGTCCCTTATGGAGCCAGAGATTTTCCAGACAGAAAAAGTATTTGTCGTTCTGGTGAACTTATTTATAGTTAATAGTGTTAAAAATAGATCTAATTTATAGTGTTCTCTGTAGATCTGTTTAATATTGTGATAAAGGGGGATTGTTAGGTTTTATAGTAGTGCATGATGGCTGAACCAAACTAGATAAGGGGCCGGGGATGTCTGGGGTACTGTGAGAAATTCGGTAATATGTTCATAGTTCTTAAGCCAGCATTTAAAAGGATTACGGTAGTAAATGGCTTAATAAAATGTGAATTTCACAATGCCTCAATATCCTGAATTATATATTTAATTAAGTGAAATTCTTGTAAAGTTTAATTACCTTACGTAGAAAACCACCTTTCTTCCAGAGTATGTGGGAGTATACCTGGTGTGTGTGTATGTAAGCACATACTTAATGAAATAAAAACACTCAGTTTGCTCATTGTATCATAATGCCCAAGTCCAACCAAAATTAGTTCATTTAGAATTGAAGATTTGCATGTTGTGAAGTTATGCATGCCACCATACCAAATTTCCAGGGCAGGAACCAGAGAATATATAGAACTCAAAATTATACTGTGTCCAACCTGCTGGTTTTTGGCATTGGGAGTCAATTACTCTTGACAATCATAAGATCCACATAAAATGATGAGTATCTTGCTAGTGCTTCTGTAGGCAACAGAAGCAATTATAATAGAGAGAGATGCAGCAAAAGACTGAGATGAAAAAAAAGGCTATGTTGGGATTCTCTTTAAAGATTTTGATTGGCTTTAAACACTGTTGTGGCCAGCTGTTGTATCTGGAAATGTAATATGCTAAGCCCATGAGTGAGTTTTCCTTAAATCAGTGTGGCTTGTATGTAACTGTATTATTGGCTGATGAGAGTGAACAAATCTGTTTTTCCAGCCCTACTCAGTGGCTTGCTAATGATAACCTGTTTCAGAAGTGATATTGTAATGTGATTAATGGAGTTGAAAAGCATATATGGAAAAAAAGAGTATTCTTTTTTCCGGGTAGAAAGCGTATTGATTGAAAAGGTACAGAAAGCTGCAGAAGAAGGGAAAAACAGGATGAATTACTAACAGACTTCTGAGGTGTAAACTGCAATTTCACAATTTGTGATAGAATTTGAGGATTGAATGTTGCATGAATCTGAAACAGTGGTAAAAGGCTTGTATGAAACATGAAGGAATTTGTGTATACGTGTGTGTGTGCATGTGTGTGTGGAGCAGAGGAGAAACACACCCACATGGAGGCCGGCACGTTCAAGGACAGGTGTGTAAAAGGATGAGGAGAGAAATCTTTCTCTTAAAATAATGTTTAAGCGTACTAGTAAGATTGTGTACCTGTGTAATTGGGGAAGTAATTGTTATTTTGTTACTGCCTGAAGGAACGAACTGCTGTATCTGTAGCTGATCACGAGTGTCCACGGTACCTCTACATGGAAATGCTAATATCTGATACTTTCAGGTGTTGTTAGCATTTAAAAACCATACACATTTGATGGTTGAACTAAACTAAAAAGGTAAAATTAATTTTCGTAGGTACCTTTGCTGGAATCCTTCTTGTGAGCTGACTGGTCTGAGCTCCCAGGGTCTTTTTAAAGGGGTGAGCAGGCTGCTTTGTACTGTCTGCCAAGGTGGAAGAATTGCATGCTAAGAAATAGCCACTTGTCTACCTCCTTTTTTTCCCCTGGTTCCTGTAGTTGACATGGGATGACGCGATTTCTGTCTATGGATTTACACTGGGACTACATTACTGATGGCCCAGAAAAATTTCCTGCTGTCCCTACAGTCTGACCTCCCCCAGATGCCCACAGGGTCAGTGTACCCTGTTGTCTTGGGGAATGCATGCATGCCCTCATTTAATGGTACATGAGTAGTTACTTCTGGACCTTTCAGTCTTTTAGACTACTGTCACATCTGTGCAGTGCGCCGTTGTTGCTTTTTTTTCCCTAAGAAGTAGCTCGTTCTGGAAGGTGAATGTTCTGTGTGGGTTTTTCTGCTCTGCTTGGAGCAGCACCAAGAGATTTATAGCAAAATGATATTATTATAATGATATTTTTTTTAGTGTTGCCTGGCCTTTATTTGATTTGTTTTGTAACCAAATACAGAATGGGCGCGGCAGACAACATTTACAAAGGCCGAAGTACCTTTATGGAAGAACTGACAGATACTGCTGAGATAATAAGAAAAGCAACTTCAAGATCACTAGTAATATTGGATGAATTGGGAAGAGGAACTAGCACACATGATGGTATCGCTATTGCTTATGCTACGCTTGAACATTTTATTAGAGATGTAAGTATTCAGTCTGACACATACTTGTGAATGCTTTTTCAGCCTCTACTGTGGTAGGCTGACTTTGACATGGTGTGTATTTGCTTGTAGAAATGTGGCATGTCTAAACTCAGAGCAAAGGGGTATGGATAAAGGATACCAGTTCTGTGCTGCTGTGTTTAAAAAAAAATTAAAGCCAAACCTTCTTTTGTGTCTATTTCATTGATGTAGGTGGAGTCAACGACACTGTTTGTCACTCACTATCCCTCAGTTTGTGAGCTAGAGAAGGTGTATCCAGAAAAAGTTGGTAATTACCACATGGCTTTCTTGGTGAATGAGCAGGAAAGTGCTGAACAAAAAGGTACAGTATAAACCCATCTGAGATTCTGGCACTATAGGGATAGGCAGATATTATAAAATTGTTACGGTAATTTAAACCTCAACATGGAAGTGATGCATCCAAACTTACTATAGTATCAGCCTATACATACGTTTTGAGGGGCTTGAAAATTGAATAACCATTTCTTTTTAATATTTAATATAAGGATGACTGAGCTAGGTCACGTAAAAGATTCATCCAGCCCAGTATCCAGCTTTTCACAGTAGCCAAATACAAAGGATTAGGGAGGAGGGATAAAGGATCAAACATATGGCAGCTCTTTCTCTAAAAGATCTCACTGTCTGCAAACACTTGCTATTTAGGGGGCTTCAAGAGCTAGATGTGTTTTCTGTTTTTTAATATCTTCAGTGGATTTCATTTCAGCGAGGTTGTCTAGTTTCCCTGAGTATCCTTGTGTATTTCTAGCATCTTCATCCTACTGTGTCAAGTAGCTCCAAAATTTAACACTGCATTGTGTGAAGAACCACCTCCTCTTTGTTTGTTTTGAAACTCTTTTGAAACAATATGTAGCTTCACATGATGGTCCCAGTTGTTGAATTAGAAGAGGCAGAGGAATAATCTGTCTTCATCCTTTCTCTGTCATGCATAATTTTGTAGATTGCATATCATAATCCCACTCAGTTCTGGTTTTACCAATCAGAAGAGTTGCAGCATTTTTTTTTTCTGCTTCTTCTTGTCACTGTTGCTCTAAATTAGTATTTGCAGTAAAGTTTCTCAGCTCACTGCTTAGCTCTTTTTCTTGTTTGATAATGGATATGTTGAGCAGCTCTACCTAACTGCAGGGATGATCACCCTTCATGGTGAGAACTGACTGTCACCATCTGTTTGCCATCTTTGTGCCAATTATTTAGAAATGCAAAGGCCTTCATTTTAGATTATGGCTGCTTAAGTTTTCAGAAGAGCATTTGGTGCAGGACCCTTGTCAAAAGCCTTTTGAAAATCTGCATAGGGTTTATTCACTGGATCTCTCTTACTCACATAGCTCCCAAATTTACAACAGGTTTGTGATGTAGGATTTCCCTCTGTACCAACTGCTTTGATTTTTTTTTTTTGCTTGATGTATCAGGTTTAATCAGGTGCTTGACAATTCAGCTCTTATTCTGGTTTTCCCACTTTGCTAGTGATGGCCTGTTCCCTGAATCATTCCTAGAATTCTTCTAAGAATTGGCATGGTATTTGCCATTAGCCTTGCCATTATTCTTAATATTGTATTGTCTGCTTACATTTGAACTAATCGGGACAGGGCACTTTAATATTTGCCACTAAATGATGGTAACAGTATTTGCCAATAAATATATAATCTATCACTTTTTAAATGTTTTTCAGAGAGTTAGTTCAAAAATTTCAGTTTTGGCTAAAGGGAGAATTTGGCTTTTGTATTCTGTTAATACTAGAAGCAGGGATCCCTGAAATACGTGTTAACTTTGAGCATGGGTAGTTCAAAGTAATGTGTTTAGGTGAGCACTGTCTAGACATGCTGATGCTCCCAGTTAAGAACATCCCTCTCCTGAGCATCAGCATGTCCTTTTCTCAGAGTTCTTTAGTTGAACTGTTTCTCTCTGATACTCTCAGGCAATTGAGATCTTATCAACATTCAATACTTACTATTCCTTAACTATTGTGTCCACAAAACCCTGTACTTCGTGTTTCAGTGTTCTGCTTCAGCATTTCTACATTCGATGTTAGTTGACCTGAACCTTCAGGCCATATGTAATGGTCACAGTTTTGCTACAGAAGGCATAACAGGTGTAGTACCACAGCCTGTGAGCAACAACACATCTATGTTTCTTACTTTGCCTGTATCTTTAGCTCCCTGTGTCTTAACATTTTAGTTGTTTTATTTAAGGTGAGTTTTCTGGCACCTTTTTTTTCCAATCTTTCGCTTGGGTCACTCAGATTAAATCAGCATGAGTCATCAGGATTTATGGAAATCTCCATTGTTTCCAAAATCCTGCTTCAAGACAGAAGAATGAATGGCCACATAGTTCTTCTGCTCTTTACACAAGGTCTGGCTTGTGCAGACATGCTACAAAGATGTCTAAAGAGGAGAAGGAAGGAGTCATCAGATTTATAAGGACGGCTCTTATGTTTCCATGTTGTTGTCAGGGAATAGAAAGAATCCCTAGTGGAAGACCCACCATCCTAACCTTTGGTTTTTCCTAAGCATTTTGTATGGTTCCTAGCTTCCTGGCAGGCAGCAAACTTTTTGTTGTGCTGTAGTTATAGACTTCTCAATTGTGGGATTACTGACACTTCCTTTATTCTGTCATTGCTCAGCAAACATGAGATGCAATGTCTCAGTTACAGCGTAACTAATCAATTTGACATACAAAGGTTCTGAGTTTTACACACACACACACACGTCTGCTTAATAACACACCAGGTAAAAGTACAGTAAAGTTTTTTCAGTCTCACAGTGGGAAAGTAAAATGCGTGGTCTCAAGGAAACATTTTTCTTTCATGTTTCTTCAGTGGAATAAATCACGCAGGAAGCATGAATCATAATGAGACCACAGTCTTTGCCATTTCGGTCTTTGGTCTACTACATTTTATTAACATAATGGAGGAGGTTTTGATTTTGTTTTGGTTTGGTTTTTTAGGATCTGAAGATGAAGAGAATCCTGAATTTATCACTTTTCTTTATCAAATCACTAAAGGAGTCTCTGCAAGGAGTTATGGGCTAAATGTTGCCAAACTGGCAGATATGCCTGAAGAAATCTTGAAGAAGGCAGCTCACAAATCAAAGGAGTTGGAGAGAATAGTGAATATGAAAAGGTTAGAACAATTTGATTTTTTTTAATTTCTTTTTTGCCCCTAATGAAACTTCAGCTATCAATTGAAAAGTATTTCACACAATGTGCATTAAAAATAACAATAAGAGCTACTACAGATATCCTCCTACCCTTCAGGGAAAAGACAGTGAAACAAAACTTTGAAAAAGAATATTTAGGAAATTGTGCTATCCATTTCAATCAAAGCTTTATATTTTGTAATTAGCTACTTCGTCAGAGGCTAATTGCTGCTCTCTGAAACAAGACTGGAAAAAAGTAAATGCGCATTGAGTGAACTTTAGGTATAAACTGTTTTTTATTTTCTTATGGCAAATACTAGCAAATTTATTCTTTCAGCTAAGTATTTTCACTGCGTTCAGGAAGATGAATTTGAAGTATAACTATCTTCTAATACCTACTTTTCTCACCAGTGATAGTGAAAATATTAACATTTAATTTAGAACGTATGTTATTCACTTTGGAGCTTGAAATTGTATTTGCATACTATAGTGTAGAAGGAAATGCAGATATTCTTCTGGTTTAACTTAAAAATAAGTATTTATAATATATTTTGACTGCCCCCCAAAACACACAAAATTCTACTGACAGTCTGGGGATTTTAATATTTTTCTGGTAACCAGTTTTTGTTTAGTGGCATATGTACCTTATATATTAGACTAGTTATTTAGATTCCCAGGATTATCAAATGGCATCATCTTTATAAAACCTGAAACATTACATACACAATTTAGATATAAAAGTGTGCTACTATTCATATTCTTTTCCACTGATTTTTTTGTTGTTATTTTTTTCAGTGGCAGTCCTATCAGGAAAATTCGCATAGCCGTTTAGGAATATAATAAATCAACATCTTTGCTGTCTGATGGCCGTAACCAATCTTGACAGAATAATTTCATATGAGAAAATTTTAAGTATTAGTTACTTGTAGGCGCAGGCAGTTATTTTGGAACTTAGTAGTGCTTAGTGCTTAACACCAGTTTTTATCCCCTTTTAAGAAAGCAAAATAAAAACATTCTATTGAAGATACATGTCAGTTTATGGGAAAAATAATGGGGTAGCTTATGTTAACTGGAAACAATAGTCCATAACTGACAAAAGTAAAACAATTAATTACTAGCAGTGTCTTAACTGTTGTTATAGGATACCTAGGGTTTTAAAATCAAGAAAAAATTGTTGTTCAGAAAGGTGAGAGTTGGAAGGCCAGAGTTACTGTGTAATAAAATTAAGGTGAAATAATATAATATGTGCCTTTGGTTTATATTCCTTTATTCTCTGAAAATCGTGCTAGCATATTACTTGGACAGGGCACAAATAGAGTTCTAGCATGCCTTGCTAAAAAAGTGAGTTAATTGTATAGAAAAACTATAAGCAACACAAATAGTGTGCAATGATGTTGTTAGAAGACTGATTCACAGCGCCCACAGAGCGGTAGAGTGAGGGCTGACTGGGCAGTCTTAATTATGGGACTTAATTGTGTCCCATTTACCAGCTTTTGAATATGTAAGCTACCATCTGTGTTTTAGCTTTTGATACGTAATTTGCTTATATTCTTAAAGCGAAAAAGAATAAATACTTCATCTAGAGCTGTGACGAGTCCTTTATCCCAGCTTACCACTGAGGCTGGAAGGCCCATCACCACATGCTCCACTGCAGGCTGCTGCCACCCGAGCTGCCCCAGCACACGTCCCTGGGAGTGACCCTCTAGAACAGGCTCCCACGGATGCTGCCGCACAGCTGCTCCCTGCCCTTCTTCCAGGGTGCCAGGGCTCGTCTTTGCACAACCACAAAACAGACCAGGTCAGGGATCTGATAGGGCTGAAAAGTCATTCTTTCTCCGACTGGTATCACACAAGTTCAATTTCCTGGTGTTACATGTGAACAGGCACTACTGCCTGAAGAAGGAAAGGGTGGGAGTGATAGGAGGAGGACATCCTTGATGCTGGCAGTGGTTGACGGAATAGAGATCGGCCTGAGACTGCCAGAGCAGCCTGCCCCATCTGCAGTTGGACACTTTTGCCTCCCCCTGTAATGAGAGACAGTGCTATGGAGGGGCTCAGGGACAAGGCTCCCCTGTTGGCGCGGGGCCAGAGGAGGCCCCAGCAATGATCCGAGGTCTGGGAACCCCTCTGCTGCGAGGAAAGGCTGGGAGAGTTGGGGCTGTTCAGCCTGGAGAAGAGAAGGCTCCGGGGAGACCTGACTGCAGCCTTCCACTACCTGAAGGGGCCTGCAAGAAAGCTCGAGAGGGACTTTTATGAGGGCCTGTTGCAGTAGGACAAGGGGTAATGGTTTTGAACTAGGAGAGGGGAGATTTAGATTAGACAGAAGAAACGCTCTTTACTGTGAGGTTGGTGAGGCCCTAGCCCAGGTTGCCCAGAGAAGCTGTGGATGCCCCCTCACTGGCAGTGCTCAAGGCCAGGTTGGGCGGGGCTTGGAGCAACCTGGTCCGGTGGAAGGGGTCCCTGCCCATGGCAGGGGGGGTGGAACTGGATGGTCTGTAAGGGCCCTTCCAACCCAAACCATTCTGTGATTCTATGACAAGGGACATCCACAACACAGGAATTGCTGCTTCATGAGATTTGACCTGTAACAGGGTATTCTTTCGTTATAGACCTCTTACATGCACTTTGGAGGGAACTCCATGCATCTGTATAAACCCAGAGCTCAAGTCAGCAAAAATTTAAAAATTATCAAAAGTGTCTAATTATTTCACATTGCATAAATGAATGGATTATGTAATTCTTAATTTTTCCAGTTCTTCTATGTAGGTCATTATAGACATATTTTCTTTTGTATAGTCCTGTTTATTTTCACATATTGCCATGATGTGTTCTAAATGTCAAAGTATTCTTCTATACCTTCTTCCCAAATGAGACATGTAACAAATTTCAAAATGGGTATGGTATATCTGTGGTAGGAAATAAAAATTATCATGATCTTCAGAATTAAACTCAGACCTGTTCATAGCAGTATACTTGTCCTGTCCCAATACCCACAAGCCAGCTGCCTTGTCTTACTGTTTTAAATCACTTTCATGTTATTTAAGAAAATCCACGGGGTAATTCCACCCAGTCTTGACATGTTTGTTGTTGGAATGTGTGTTAACCCATTTTAAATGTCTTGTTATTTGTCATAGCTCTTATGAGTCTTTCTTAAATACAAAAACATTAAAAAAGAAAATAGGAAGGATATGTGTACTCATTTATTTTGAAAATATGTTATCTCTTTATGATTCTACAAGTGCAAATTTTTAGGAACAGAATGCTGGAAGTTAAACGGTACAAACTACAATACTGTTTATTTCCTTTAACTATTTACTCTTGCTCAGTGTTTTATTTCATCTTGTTAATGCTTCTGGTATTGTAAGTTAGTTATAAAAGTAAGTTGTTGACTGTCCTAGAGCTGGAATAAATATATTGGAAAATGTTAGCCCATTGCTTAAAGATCACACAACATTTTGAGCTATGTAAAGTGCTATTTTTGACTGTGTATAAAATTTTGCAGATAACTGTAGGGCTTTCAAGATTTGATGTACTTAATTTAAAAATGTGTCTATATTTTGATGGAATTTTTTTTTTTTCCCCCAGAGAAAAGCTAAAGTCCTTTGCTGAAGTATGGAAGATAAATGATTCTCAGGAACTACAGAAATGGAAAAGTGCGTGTGAACCTGAAGATGAAAGAAAGGACAGTTTTTAATCCTCAAATCATGCTTAAAGATTGAAAATATTGGGGATGCAAAATATGGGTCTGGAGACTAATAGATTCTATCAGGGTGTAGTTCTAGGCGCATTAAGTTGACTTTTCTGCCTTTTGAGAGATAAGAGATGCCGTGTTGTGATATAATGCCCCACATCCACTTCCAGACTGTATGTAATTCTCTCACTCTGCGTTCCTTCCCTGAAGTGTTTTCCATCCTTTTCTTAATTGCAAAATGTCTGCTGGCGTTGGATTTAGTTTCAAATACGTTTAGAAAACATGAAAAATTATGTTGGTAAATTATTAGGTAAATCTTTTATAAATAAAATAATGTCTTTTAACTTTATTGTACTTCAGTTTCTAAAGAAATATTCCTTTGCATTGTGCAAACGTAGCTGAGTCTTGACTATGCTGTAGTGCTGTGCAATTGGTAAGAATGAATACTACAAAGAGACCTTTTTCTTGTTCTAGCATTAATGCATTTAAAGTTCACTTGTTTTGCAGAGCACCCTCTAAATTTTATGTGCACAGTGAATTTAAGAAAGTGTGTGTTATGTGGCTGGATTAGGAGAATTTTATTTTTACTGACCAGATTCATGATGCTGCAACTAGTAGCTTTCAAAGTAGCAGCACAAAACATGCATTGACTGTGTTTTGTTTTCCCTCTTCTTCATTCTCATGCACACCTACTTCCTTTTCAGCTTTTTCCTCCTGATCTTGGCCCTCTGGCCCAGTCTAGAGAAAGAGTCACTCTGAATAATGTCCGAGTATCATAAGATGGGTGAAAGAGGCAATTCAAACTATGCAACGGTCATCCCCAGTGCTCTGTCAAATGCAGAGAAAAACTGGAAAAAACAGAAAAACTTTTTAATTTTTTTTAATTTGCAGTTACCAAGTCCAAATTTCAAGTGGGCATGTGATATCCAAATTGGTTTTCCTTTATAAATATAACCAAATATCAAATATCTTGCTATGAAAATGGACAATGATGTTGACATACTTGAGCCTTGGCAAATAGTTTGTTGTATTTAAAAAAAAAGTATTAAGTGGAAAGAAGTGAAAGAAAATATCGTCTTGATTTTGCAATAAGGAAAAGAATAAAATGAGGTTTTTTTATCTTTGTGAGATGAATATGAAATAATGTCATTGCAGGTGATTGAATTAGCTTTTCCAATATAGAGAACTTTGTGCAGAAAAGAGTATAATTTTTTTACCTGTCATAAACAATTGCTAACCTTCACCAAAGACTTTTTTACAGGTTCTTCAGGTGACAAAGCGTCATTTAAACAAATAGTTTGCCTGCCACTCAAATAGCAGCAATCAATACGAGCATATCCTTCCAGAGCGTGAAGTACATTTATCTAAACTGGAAGAGCTGAAGAAGAAAACTGCTCTTTCAAGGTGTAGTTATACATGTGTGTTTATCCATGCTACATGAAGTACAATGAATGTCATACTCCATTATTAATGCACATTGATACAGTGCATTGGATCTAAAGTCTTCTGACCGTAGTCTTCAAAGAGAGTAAGTGAGCCATTACTAAATTCCCATATGTGCTAAATGTGCTTTTAGTAAGAGTCTCTTTGCCCTCAAGGAGGCGTTCAGATTATTCTGTGATGACAAGAGGAAAACACCTAGATGCCGTCTGAAAAAAGTGAGGAAATACAAGTAAGAATGGGGAAATGGACACGGTATTACTAGCCTGCTCATACTATCAAGTACAAAGCAATTACAGCAAGCTTTCCTCTTAGCGTCTGTGATCCTGTTGGAAATAACTTTTGATTTTAGCCCTGCTCTGTTCAACAACAGAGGTTATCTTGCTATCCTGATAAGGTTTCTTCTGGGTATGAAAGCTAATTATTAAAGCTACTGTTTTAGTCACTGCTGGTTATCATAATTCCTAGCAGATATGTAAAAAGTTACGACCATTTGAGAATGCACTATAAGGAGATGCATACTATTATTATATGTGTTTACTGCTGGTTTTAGGATACATTTGTAATAAGTACAGTGCAGATTCATCTAGACCTTGTTCTGCTGATGTGGAGCAGCCATGCTCATTAGCAGAGTGAGCGCTCTGTGAGGGCAATCACTGTGGGATGTGACGAGGTCAGAGGTCACTTGGGATGTTTGCGGAGCATGAGATTAGATGTAGTCCAGACAGGCAGCCAGACAGAATTTCCTTGGCCTTTGGTAGGTTGGAGTGCAAGAGGGATATAAAGAAACCAAGACTTACTGGAAAATGGGGAAAGGCATCAATTTTGTAGGAGTTTTTTTTCATTTCTTTTATTGCTGTAAGTTGGGACTTCTGTCTCTGTCATAGCAGGAGTCCTAAGAGACAGAAAGATAAGAAGCTACTCCTGGGTTTTGCTTCCCCTCCCCCTCCCTTTTCTTTTCTTTTAAATACCAGCACACTAAGCTGCTTCTTAAAGACACTTTGAAGTACAGTTTGGCAGTGGTATGATCTTGGAGATGTGCCCTGTTTTTAAACCAGAGTAATAAAATTCTGACTGTGTGCTGAGTCAGCAAGTTTGATCCTGTGTACTGATGGCTGTCAGGCAAAGTAAGGTTAAAGAGTGACCCATACTTAGATGGTTCTTGGTTGTAGTGCGAATTCGTGCTAGTCTTGAGTTTGTCTTCAAGAAAGGAATGTCTAAATATTTTTGTCTAAATATAGTATTTTTTGAAACCTGCATGGAGTATTGGCTTCTACTGCCTCTGCCAGCATGGTATTGACATGGTTAAAATTTAATATTAATGTGAGAAGTACAGCTTTATGCTTTATATAAAGGTACTGTCTCCTTGAAAGACCTTTGCACTTCATGGCTTTTATCCATTTTTTTAAACATGGTATTTATCACTTTATTAAGCTTTTTCATTGTTCTCTCTTCCCTGCTCTTCACATAAAAATTGTAATGCCTCTGTGCATCTTGTCTTGAATGTATTGCCTTTAGGAATCACAGTGCCACAGGTTAGCAACAAAAACTGGTAGACCATTTTGATGGAAGAGAAGGAGAGGGCTGGATACACTCTCAGTGCCTTTTTGTATTTGGTTATATAAGAGCATTATTACAGAATACGCAAAGTAAAATACATCACCAGTAGCAATTACCTGTCTTACTGGCATACAACATTTTTCACTAAAGCAATTCTTGAGAGGATTTTTCTTTGTATTGCAAAGTTTTCCATAAGTATTTGTATAAATGACATGAATTTACCTACGTACATAAGTTTACAAAGTGGTTAAATGAATGTAAAGATCACTGAAATGTCAGCTGAGTCGGGTATTGCAGTAAGTCTGTTCACTGCAATGAAAGTAATGTTTATTTATTGAAATCTATTGGAAAGTAAATTATCCTAATATTTCTACTATGTGTAAAATTTAGTGAGAATTCAACTATTTTAACTTCTTAGTAGTTCTGATATAAATGCATTTTCGTAGAGGAATAAGGGTTTGGTAGATTGCATTGCGCTGAGAGAAGTAGGACTCTGTTCCAGAATCCGGGTCACACTTCAGAATGGTTACTGGGGGGCCTTCTCCCCAAGTCTCACCCCATGTGGCCATTGTAATCTCCTCCAAAATCCTGGCACCGGTACTGCAAGTCTTGGACAGTAATCTGAAAAGTAAGTCTGAGCTGCCTGTCTCTTTTCCTCCTTTCAGATTTTAGGGCATATGAATGGAGTGGATGGTTCTCATCACCTTTTAACTGTTCCTAAACACAAATGCTGTAGCAAGCTGAAATTCACTATTAGCATAATTTTCCCATGTGTTTTCAATGCTTTCCTCCATCTCCCTACAAAATCTCTGGCAATCAAATCCGGATCAAACATTTGTTAGATCTGAATTCAGTTCTGGGGGACAAATTTGCAGTCTGCTGATCTGAACCGGGATTTCTAAAAAAGTATATGGCCAGAGCCCAAGAAGGGATTCACGGGGGATGCATTCAGGATAGAAAATCCTGCTGGCAGGTAAACGTGGGCTTCAGTTCCAAGACCGCTTATTTGGGTCTTTGACCTGCGTCAATCCAGCGCTGTTGATTGTTCTTGTTTTGTAGCGCTATATAAGGGAAGCCATGGATTTGCCCAGCTTGGTAGAGTCCTGTACTAAGGATATGCTCCCCAAAATTACAGAACTCTGCTTACCTTAATGATGCTACATTTGCCATTGTACATGGCTAAGCACCTTTGGTGTGGAAATCCTCCCCTTGCCTGAAATGGTAGATCACTTTGTTCTTCCTCAGCTACAGATGCACAAACTCAATGTCTTCCTGAATTACATTGTAGATTTTTCGCTTTGCCTAGCCACAGAAACAAGTAGAAAGCAAAGGATGTTTTCCTCATTTCTTAAAAATCTTAAAAACCACAATTTCTAAAATAGTCATCTTGTTTTATAAGATGTGAGTCCTTGCAGGCGTGCTGTTAACTGTGAAATGGTGTACTTGTCTTGAGACTGGACTACTTGAAGTTAGAAGTGAGCTGTAGAGAAAAGGATGATGGTGCCTAAGATACTAGTCAGGGGAAATAAAGGGTGAACAACATAAAGCCAGATATAGAAATCTAAGGATAATTAGCTGTTCTAAGAATAATAGCATTAGGAAACAGGATGTTTTCCTCCTACATGATGTCAGGATTTGTTAAGAGAGCGAGCAGGCACCAGTTTGATTGGTACTTTGGCTACAGTCTTGCTAGCCAGCCAGTACAGCGTGTAAGGCTAAGAGAGTGTGCCTGAGGCTGAACGCTGTGGTGACCCCTTGTGCTGTTGCCCTGGATGGCCAGCGCTCAGTCTACGCACGCTCTCAAGAGCACCTTGCCCAAAGCACTCACAGGGAGATGGAGGTGGTGCCTGCTAATGGGCTTCATGTCATTGCAACCACAGCTTGTGGAGGGCGAACTAAGTCCAGGGCAGGAAGCACTGTGGCTCTTCTCGAGCCAGTAGCCTTTTGTCAGTTGGTGCTTACCAGCCAGCATGTGCATACAGCTTGTCACATAACTTAATCACTGCACTATGGGGGAAGGTGGTGGGGGGGTAAGTCTGGTGGACCTAATTCTTTTCAGTTGGTGGGTCACGTACACAGTCGGTGTTCTCATCACACACGAAGGAGAAGGAATCCTTGCCCCATCCTCAGCCCTGCACAGGGTCAGCAGAGAACAAAGGTTAGCCCTGAAATATCAATACTAGAAATGAACTAGTCTTTTAAATAAATATATGTAAA